GCTTTTTTGTGTTTAGAACAATATATACTAATTTTCAAAGTATTTAATTTAATTTTTGTTCAATAAAAATATTTCAAATGCGACTGTAGCTTTTTTTCCCCAAAACTTTGTCTTCAAAATAAGGGTGCGTCTTATATTCCGGTACTAGCTTTGCCATAAATACAAATTCTTGATGTATTCATTTACATAATAAGATGGAATAGTAGAAAAGTTCCTTATAAAAATATCTTAATACAAAATTTAAATATCATTAATATTACTTTTATTAAAAATTTTGGACCAAAATAAAATTTATTTCTCCCCGGCGGGGAATCGAACCCCGGTCTCCCGCGTGACAGGCGGGGATACTTACCACTATACTACCGAGGATTATGATTTTCTTTCTCTATTATACAATTACTAGTTAATGTTTTTTTCCACTAGAATAACAATGAATTTGAAAACTAATAACACTTAATTATTAAGCTGTAAAAAATAAAAACTTTTTTTTTTTTTGCGCCAAGACACAAAGGGTTATCTGTGCATGCTTATCCTTACTTTTGTGCTTCTACTCTAAACTGTAAAGCAGTTAGTCTACAGCACCCACTACATCTCTTGGGCTACTCTCGTCGGGCCGAAGAGTGAGATTTGAAGCGCGACTCTATAGTGCGGAGCGCGTTTTTGTGGCAACATGAGTCATACACCCCCGGATTTACAATACGATACGATAATCACTAGACCTCGCCCGATCCTTGTATCACAAGGGTTATGTTTAAATTATTACGTCACAAAAGATCTATTGCTTCCGAATAGTTATCTCTTCAGTCAGTAGAATATGGGATAGCTTAGATTCGTTGTAGATGTATTAACATTTTAAATACTACTACGTCAGAAACTTTCACTTTTTTAGTTATTGCATACAAGGGCAACAGATAAGTAATTGTTACAAAAGGAATAAACTTTTTACAAGACAAGGAATCAAACCCAGGTTTCCATATGACAGATGAACATATTTAAAACTACACTATAGGAGGGTTTTCTTAAAACATTTTAACAGTTCGAATAGCAAAACAAAACATTTATCTACTCTTACTGTTTAAAGATATGGAGGATTCAGCTTGTTCTGTATTCCTTTACACATGTATTGTTTTCCCATACGTTTGTTTGTTTGTAGTTAAGTACAAATCTACACAATGGGCTGTTCTTCTGCCCACCACAGCACTGTAAGTCCACAGACATACCGCCGTGCCACTAGGGAGCTTTCACAAACGATTTTGTTTTACTTTTAGAGCAAAGCCACATCAGGCTATCTCCCTTATCCACTGTGGGGATTTTAGCATTGTAAGTTCATAATCTTATTGCTGTCTCATTGGGTTATTTCACAAACGAAAACGGAAAAGTAAACTATTAGATTTGGTTGTAATTAAGCACAAAGCTAAACAATGGGCTATCTGTGCTCTGCCAACCACGGGTAACGAAACACGGATTCTAGCGTTGCAAGTCCGTAGACATATCGCTGTGCCACTGTGGGGGAAACTATTAGATAAAAGCAATACCAAAAAAGTAAGTCCCTTAACTTTAAAAACGAAGAGATTAATTTATACACATATCTCTTATATTTAAAACAAACAACAACAGTTTTACAGAAGTATAGTGTCGAGTAAGAAAGGTGTAGTTGGTACATTATTCCAAGCCATTACTCTTGCTTGCACTGCTGTGTGATAATATCAGTACCATACCTTAGAGCACAAGTCCCAAAGAGACCATAGACCTGGCTTAATTATAAATAAATTCATAAAATTTTAAAGGGACAGAAAGGAGCTTATTAACCCATCAAGGATATCCCTTATATAACCACCCCTTACTGCTCATGTATTCATCTAATTTTTTCTTGAACTCAGTTACATTTTCCACCTCCACCACCCTTGAATGCAGCTCATTCCAAAAGCCAACCACCCTGTTTGAAAAGTAATACTGTCTAAACTGCAGACAACTCCTACGCTGCCAAAATTTGAATTTATGATCCCTTGTCCTATTGTTTTCATTGCTAAAACAAAACGTTTGATGGATCTATATTACCAATACCCTTAATAATCTGAAACACCTCAATCAAATCCTCTCTGACCTTTCTCCTTTCCAGAGAAAAGAAGTTTAGAGATTTTAGTCTCTCCTCATAGGACAAACCACCATTCCAGATATCACCCTAGTAGCTCTTCTCTGAACCTGATCCAACATGCTTCTTGTGGAAGGGAGCCCAAAACTGTACACAGTTCTCTAAATGAGGCCTTACAAATGATCTATACAGTGAAACA